TTTTTAAAGATTTTATTTATTTATTTGACAGAGAGAGAGACACAGCGAGAGAGGGAACACAAGCAGGGGGAGTGGGAGAGGGAGGAGCAGGCCTCCCGCGGAGCAGGGAGCTCGATGTGGGGCTCGATCCCAGGACCCTGGGATCATGACCTGAGCTGAAGGCAGACGCTTAACGACTGAGCCACCCAGGCGCCCCTAAAATACTCCTTTAAAGTACCCACTGAAGATGTCCATTTTATATCCATGTTAGTTTTTTGCAAAAGAACATTCTTTTCCAGGGCTTCATTCCAAAACCACGATGCCCTTTGATTCTAAACAACCTTCTATCCCAGAGGCACTGAAAAGTACTAAAAAAGCATCAGCATTTTCCCCAACAGTTGGGTTCTGCCCTGAAGTAGCAGCAGCTCACCAGCATTTGACTCAGTCCGTGCGCTCCCCTAATAACCAGGAGGGAAGGTAGAAGTTAAAAGGTGAAACCTGAACCCCTATGGGTGCACACCCACACTTTGGGGACCCTCCCCTTTGCCCAGGATGGCACTGTGTGTTCACTGTGGAGATGGTGATGCTTATTTCTGTCTTTGCATCCATACCTTAGCCATTATAAACCCATGGGGCTCAAGCATTATCTACATGATAGGTAGTAAGACTCTAGGATTTAGTTTGGGAATTTTCCCAAAAACAAATGGAATTACAGGCACCAAATTCGTAGTCATTTTGAGATTTCAGTTCTCTGTCCTTCATCTTCTCCCCTTCCTCTCTCTGTCCCCTACCTCCCGTTTCCCCTCTTTCCCCTCCCCCTGGTATTCTCCCTCTCCCTCTCTCTCTCTCACACACACAGACACTCACACCCCGACCCCTATAAGCATTTTTTTTTTTTCAAGTAGGCTCCATGCCCAGCATGGAGCCCAGTGTGGGGCTTGAACTCAGGACCCTGAGATCAAGACCTGAGCTGAGATCAAGAGTGTAGACACTTAACTGATAAGCCACCAGGAGCCCCCCTAGGCATTCTTGATATGAAGATGATGTCTGGAAATAGGGAGACAGTTCTTCAGTTAAGCTAAAATTTACTAGGGAGTAGTTTTAACAGGTGTAGACTAAAAAAAAAAAAAAATCATTTAGATGGGAAACATGTAATTAAAAGTAGCCATGAACAGACATCATTAGAAGAAAGGGTCTCTGGTAAATTGAGAAAAATGGTATTCCTCCCCCCTCCACCCCATACTTGATGGATCATAATATAAAATCACTTTTTTTTATTTAAAAGATTTTATTTATTTATTTGACAGAGAAAGAGACAGTGAGAGAGGGAACACAAGCAGGGGGAGTGGGAGAGGGAGAAGCAGGCCTCCCACTGAGCAGGGAGCCCGATGTGGGGCTCGATCCCAGGACCCTGGGATCGTGACCTGAGCCGAAGGCAGACGCTTAACGACTGAGCCACCCAGGCGCCCCTAAAATCATTCTTTTTTATTTAAGTAAGCCCTGTGCTCAACCTGGGGCTTGAACTCGGAATCCCAAGATCAAAAGTCACATGCTCTACTGGCTGAGTCAGCCAGGTAACCCCTAAAACTACTCTTTTAACTCAGCTTAGGTGAGGCTGTGGGAAAGGTTAGTGGGCAGGGTTACTTAGCATCAAAGTCGCACTTCATATTTGTTAGGCCATTATCACTTAGTATCTTATTGTAATACTTGTTATAACCTACTGGTGATGTGAATGCAGTTATCCACCTAGGGAATGGTTCTGATGAACAGAGTTTGTGACTGTGATGAGAGAAACTTGGATTCATGGGCTCAGCTTCTCCATTAACTGTGACTGGGGACATCTCCTGCTTCCTGTTCTTTTTTATTTTCCCATCTCTACTTTTGGATGACAGTATCTGTAACCAGCTTCGAAGCAACGACTAAGGATTATTGGAGGACATTTTGAGTGTCTTGGAAAAGTTCTAGAAACCCAGCTATCTTCCGCTGCAGTTTCTCATCTGCCTTTTTTGGGAGCAGACATAGTTGACCCTTAAGGATCCCATTCTTTGTGAGTTACACGTTGTTAGAATTAGGCTTCTAAGGCCTACGGTTTTGTAATATTTGTAGTGTTAGTTTGTTTTTAGCGTCTTTATTGAGATAAAATTCATCTACTTAAGTTGTACAATATGGTGGTTTTAGTATATTCAAAGAGTTGTGTAACTACCACCACAATCTTAAGTTTAGAATATTTACATCACCCCATTAGCAGTAACTCCCCATTCGTCTGTCCACCCAGCCCCTAGCAACCACTGATCCACTTTCTGTGTTGAATGCATTTGCCTATTCTGGACATTTCATATAAATGGAAATACAATATGTGGTCTTTTGTGGCTGGCATCTTTCACTTAACGTAACATTTTCAAGGTTTGTCCATGTTGTAGCATGTACTAGTACTTTAGTCCTTTTTCTGGCTAAGTAATACTCCACCGTGTAGTTATACCACGTTTTGCCTGTCCATTCATCAGTTGATGGACATTTGGTTGTTTCTACTTTTTGGGTATTGTTATGGAATAACGTTGCTGTAAACACTCCTGTACACGTGTCTGCGTGGACATGTATTTTCAGTTCTTTTGGGTATGTACCTAGGAGTGGAATTGCTGGGTCATATGGTAGCTCTGTTTAGCATTTTGAGGAACTATCACACTGGTTTCCAAAGTGGCTATACCATTTTCCATTCCTACCAGCAGTGCATGAGGGATTCACTTTCTTTACATCCTAGCCAACACTTCTTACTGTCTTTTTGATTACAGCCATCCTAATAGGTGTGAAGTGGTATCTCATGTGGTTTTGATTTTCAGTTCCCTAATAACTAATGTTGAGTACCTTTTCATGAGCTTATTGTCAGTTTGTCTATCTTCTTTGAAGATATGTCTTTGCAAATCTTTTGCCTAGTTTCTGTTTTTTTTTTTAATTATAAGAATTCTTTTTTTTTTTTTTTTAAGATTTTTAAGTAATCTCTACACCCATTGTGGGGCTTGAACTCACAACCCTGAGATCAAGAGTTGCATGCTCCACTGACTGAGCCAGCCACGCGCCCCTAATTATGAGAATTTTGGGGGCACCTGGGTAGCTCAATCGGTTGAGTGTCCGACTCTTGATATCAGCTCAGGTCATTTTCTCAGGGTCCTGGGATTGAGCCCTGTATGGGGCTCCACATTCAGTGGGGAGTCTGCTTGAGGATTTTTCTTTTTTCTTTTTTTTTTAAGATTTTATTTATTTATTTGACAGAGAGAGACACTGCAAGAGAGGGAACACAAGCAGGGGGAGCGGGAGAGGGAGAAGCAGGCTTCCTGCTGAGCAGGAACCCGGATTTGGGGCTAGATCCCAGGACTCTGGGATCATCACCTGAGCTGAAGGCAGACGCTTAATGACTGAGCCACCCAGGCACCCCGGGGATTTTTCTTCCTCTCCCCCGGCTTGTGTGCCTTCTCTCTTTCTCAAATAAATAAATAAATCTATTTTTTTAAAAAAGATTTTGTTTATTTGAGAGAGAGCACAAGGGGGTAGGGGGGAGCAGCAGAGTCAGAGGGAGAAGCAGGCTCCCCACCAAGCAGGGAGTCCAACTTGGGGCTTGATCCCAGGATCCTGAGATCACGACCCAAGCCGAAGGTAGACACCCAACCAATTGAGCCACCCAGGCACCCTAAATAAATAAATCTTTTTTAAAAACTCCTTTAGAAACAAAGAATTCTCTGGCCCAAAATGTCAGTAGAGCCAAAATTGAGAAACTCTGGCCTGAACAGGGAGATCCTAAAACCTGAGATATTGAATGATTTTTCATTTCATGTCTTGATAATCAGATAAAGGCCACTAATCAAATAAAGGAGGATCTATAGGGGCGCCTGGCTGGCTCAGTCAGTAGAGCATGCGACTCTCGATCTCAGTGTCATAAGTTCAAGCCCCACGTTGGGCATGGAGCCTTCTTTAAAAAAAAAAAAGGAGTAACCCTGTGGGCAGAGTGGTGACAGAACTTGTAAATTAAATCAGGGAGCATTTTCTGAATTTTCAGTGCTGCCAATTTAAATGTAAATTAATTTATGAGAACGGAAACGATTTGGAGGAGAAATGCCAATGGAGCAAAAGTAGATTTATTCCCTACATCTTCGGGCCACCGTGAGACACACACATACTCCTGGCAAATAAACCAAGTTGCTTGATTTAAATGGTGGTCTCAGAGGATAGGACAATGAGGTTTTCAGATAAAACTCAGGAACAGCGGTACTCTGGTGACCTACAGTCCTCAGACTGCTCCTGTGACTTACGGAACTCACTTTCTCTCCCAGCAAGGCTTTTCTTAAGCAATGTGGCTTGCTTAAGAGCAGATTGCCTGGGTTTAAATGTCAGCTCCATCATTTAGTTGCTTGGCCTCAGACAAGTGACTTAACTCTTTTCTGAATCAGTTTTTTCAAATGTAAAATGAGGCTGCAACAGTATCTGTTTTGTAGGATTGTTGTGGGAATGAAATGAAGTAATACATTTGGAGCACAGTGCCTGGCATATGGTGTCCTGTACGTGTTGGCTGTTAATATTATTATATGTCTTATCTGTACGCCTCTTTCAGCTCATTGCTATGGACAGTGCTATCACCCTGTGGCAGTTCCTCCTTCAGCTCCTACAGGAGCCTCAGAACAAGCATATGATCAGCTGGACCTCTAATGATGGGGAGTTCAAGCTCTTGCAGGCAGAAGAGGTGGCTCGTCTCTGGGGGATTCGTAAGAACAAGCCTAATATGAATTACGACAAACTCAGCCGAGCCCTCAGATACTATTATGTAAAGGTAATACACATCCACCTCAAAACAAGAATTGTTTCTCTCTTCTGTTGAGGTTATAAGGTACTAATGTCCTTTTTTATTTGAGGTATAATTGACATAAAACATTATATTAGTTTTAGGTGTACAACATAATGATTTGATATTTGTGTACATTGCAAAATGATCACTGTCCTGGTTTATTTTCATCCAGTTTATTTCATAACTTCAGCAGTTTGGAATTAGGATGAAACATGTAAATGTCCCAGCTCTATTTCTGCAGTCCCACTGCTCACGCATATGTTGTTCCTAATTGCAGTTGTCTGTAAAGAAAAAGTGAGTATAGGGTTGGAATAAGGAAAAGAAAATTTGAGATTCTTGAGGACAAAATAAAACATATGTATCATAATTTAAAAGTTGTCACATATATGCTTTTATTTTTAGCTTTATTTTTTAATTTAACCCAGAGAACACAAGTTAATACTTTAAAGAATAGCTGTTAATACACAGATTTGATTTCTTAGTTAAAATTTATTTTTTGCTTAATTTCCTATTATTTTGGATACATTCTTGGGCTCTGAGGTGAAACGAATGGCTCAAATGGATAGAATTAGAATGAGAAGCTGAGATCTTAATTTCTTTCACTTTTAAGTGGTTGGTCTTGCCAGTTCCCCCCCAAGGTGGGTGTGAGGTAAGAAAGAACTGGAACTTCGGAAAGAAGTAGAAGGCCCAGCAGAAGTAATGTTCTCTTCCTTTGTGCTTACTCAGGATGCGAATGGCTGGTACCTTTGGAATTGTTTGAGACCACAGTTCAGTGATCTTTGACTTAATACAAATAATTTGGTTGAGGGTGTTAGGCAATTGAAAACCTCTCTTTTACGTAACATGTCATTTCAGTTGTTCATAAGACATTTAAATATGCTCAGCTCATGTTCCATAGCGCTAGGACCTGGGTTTGGTATGGCTAGATAAATGAAGGTGATTTTGAGGCTCTCAAGTAAACTACTTGCCAAATAGAGACCCTTATGAAGTCAGCTTCTTCCTGAGCTGTGAGAGGTACATTTGCAAGAAAATATAAGCATGCTTATTTTATTTATCTACAGAATATCATTAAAAAAGTGAATGGTCAGAAGTTTGTGTACAAGTTTGTGTCTTACCCAGAGATTCTGAAAATGGACCCACTGACCGTGGGCAGGACTGAGGGAGACTGTGACGCTGTGAGCTGCAGTGACGTCGGCGGCAGCTGCAGGGACCCTGAGAGTGGGGGCAGAGAGAAGCCCCCGCAGCCCGGGGCCCGGGCCTCCAGCCGCAACGACTATATACACTCCGGCTTGTATTCTTCCTTTACTCTCAACTCTTTGAACTCCTCCAGTAAGAAGCTCTTCAAACCTATAAAGATTGAGAGTCCAGCTGAGAAGCTGGCAGAGAAGAAGCCGCCTCAGGAGCCGACACCGTCCGTCATCAAATTCGTAACAACACCTTCCAAAAAGCTGCCAGTTGAACCTGTTGCCGCCGCCCTGTCAGGCGGCCCAAGCATTTCTCCATCTCCGGAAGAAGCGCTCCAGGTGTTGGAGACTTTGGCTTCTCCCAGACTGCCTTCCCTGGAAGCCCCGGCCTCTGCAGCCGGCGGCACCCCCGCCTTTGCCACGCCCCCCATCTCCGCCTCCCCTCCTGTGCAGGAGCCCCCCAGGACCCCTTCACCGCCGCTGAGTCCCAACCCCGACATTGACACCGACATCGAGTCCGTGGCCTCGCAGCCCATGGAACTTCCCGAGAACTTGTCACTGGAACCTAAAGACCAGGATTCAGCTTTGCTGGGAAAGGACAAAACAAGTAATTCCTCAAGATCCAAGAAACCCAAAGGCTTAGAGCTGGCGCCCATCCTTGTGATCACGGGCAGTGACCCGAGCCCCCTGGGAATATTGAGCCCGTCCCTCCCCACAGCTTCTCTCACACCAGCACTTTTCTCACAGGTAACTGCCTCTTGCTTTCTGGAGCCACCGATGTTTGCACTGACCCCCCCCTTTTAAAACAAATCCAGAATCAACCACCGCCCGTTCTCATGCTGCTACTTAAGTCTGTCTTAGAAAGGTGGGCTGTGACCCCGTGAAAGTAACCCAGTTCCGCACCTAATCGGAACTGCTGCAGGCGAGGTTTGGAGGAGCGTTCTAAAAGAACTCATTGTCTCTGCAAGCCAAGAAATATTTGTCAACTTCTAAAACTATTCTCGCTCGCTCTCTTTTTTTTGGGGGGGGGGTCTTATAAAACTCATTGGTATCTTATACAAAAATACTGGTAACGTCAAAAGCTAGAAAACAAATCCTGAGAACCTTAAGAAAACCAATTGGTGTGATGTTGAGAAACAAGTTTGTACAGTTAACATTAGCTATTTCTTAACTTGCTCATCTCCTATAACATTTATTTATTTATTTAAGAGGGGGTGGAGAGGGAGAGAGAGAAAATCTTTTTTTTTTTTTTAAGATTTTATTTCTTTGACAGAGAGAGACACAGCGAGAGAGGGAACACAAGCAGGGGGAGTGGGAGAGGGGGAAGCAGGCTTCCCACGGAGCAGGGAGCCCCATGCGGGGCTCGATCCCAGGATCCTGGGATCATGACCTGAGCCGAAATCAAGAGTCCAACGCTTAACTGAGCTACCCAGGCGCCTCCCCCGTAACATTTAAATAGGTGAATCCAGACCTCCCATTACTAAGGAGAACTGTGTTTGTGACTTTAGTTACCCGTTATTTCTCTGCACTTGACCAGATTGGTTTCTCTATTTGGGAAAGACCCTACAAAACACAGGTTAGAAAATATTTTGCCCTTTATCTTTCTTAGGTTGTAAAAATAATTCTGAGCTTTTCCTCATGGTAAAATTTCAGACATACTTAGTGGAGAAGAGGACAATATTTGGGTTCAGGGTTGGGGCACCTGGGTGGCTCAGTCGGTTAAGTGTCTGCCTTCCGCTCAGGTCATGTTCCTGGGGTCCTGGGATCGAGCTCCGCGTCAGGCTCCCTGCTCGGCGGGAAGCCAGCTTCTCTCTCTCCCTCAGCGCCCCTCCGCAACCCCCCCTTGTGTGCATGCTCTGTCTCTCTCAGATAAATAAATTAAAATATTTGGGTTCACGGCTATTGGTGTATTATTATAAGGTTGAAACATAATCCTGGTGAGTCACTTAGTGACCGTCTTTGTTCTGCATGTTGCAGACGCCCATCTTACTGACGCCGAGCCCCTTGCTCTCCAGCATCCACTTCTGGAGTACTCTCAGCCCTGTTGCTCCTCTGAGTCCAGCCAGACTGCAAGGTGCTAACACACTCTTCCAGGTGAGTCACCTCCAAGCCTGTCTCTTGCAGTTGGGGCCTGGCACATGAAGAAAGAGAAAGGCCGTGTCTTCACTCTTCAGTCTCCTCATTATAAAACTTCTGTTTAATAAATACGCTCTACGAGGGTTGATTGGCCAGTCGGCAAACGACTCCGACAGATACAGCCACGCTTCCTTTTCATTCTTTATTGTTACATACATTTCAGTTAGACCCGTTAGTGTTCAGTACTGTAGTAGATTTTGAACCCACCCAGTTTCTTTGTCATTTTAAATGCTAGAAATCCTCTTTTTTTTTTTCTTGGAAAAGAAAATACACACGTGTGAAAATTTGCAGGAGAATCTGCACATAGGTCTCTTTTACCTGAGGATTTTTAAAAAAGAAAACTTTTGAGAATGGTCTATCAAATACTCCCATTTCTCACTCATTTAGAATTGATACTTATCAATATTTTAAATATATGTTTAAAAAAATGGGTAGGTGCGCCTGGGTGGCTCAGTCGTTAAGCGTCTGCCTTCGGCTCAGGTCATGATCTCAGGGTCCTGGGATCGAGCCCCGCATCGGGCTCCCTGCTCTGCGGGAAGCCTGCTTCTCCCTCTCCCACTCCCCCGGCTTGTGTTCCCTCTGTCGCTGTGTCTCTCTCTGTCAAATAAATAAATAAAATATTTAAAAAAATAAAAAATAAAAAAAAATTAAAAAATGGGTATTGTAGTATCCCTTAACTGAGATCATAGGAAAGGTCTCACAGCTTTTAACCATTATTTTTCCCCAAGCATCTAGACTTTATAAGTTACAGAGTTTATTTTGGTTGATTCATTCACTTATTTAGGGGTAACTCACTGGAAGATTTCTTATATTTTACAATTTAGTTTTTCATTTGTTCTTTTGGAAATGAAATGGTAAAGAAAAAAGAAATGAAAAAAAAATTTTTTTTTTAAGATTTATTTATTTATTTGACAGAGAGAGACACCGCGAGAGAGGGAACACAAGCAGGGGGAGTTGGGAGAGGGAGAAGCAGGCCTCCCGTGGTGCAGGGAGCCCGATGCGGGGCTTGATCCCAGGACCCTGGGACCATGACCTGAGCCAAAGGCAGACACTTAATGACTGAGTCACCCAGGCCAGGCGCCCTGACAAATCTTTCTACTTCTGCATTTTTTTTTTTTTTTTTTTGCAAAAAGTTCTAAATTACCGAATGGAAAGAGTGTTGAGAATGTTTCATATTTTATTTTTACATTTTTCTTTGCCTCTCACAGATAATTGAGTTGTAGAGAGATCTGAGACCTTAAAGGCACAGTGCTCGTGCAGTTTCAGCGTGGACTCTCCCTATAGAACTGGTCTTCGAATACATGATGGGGAGCTCTGTTCTAGGATGAGCACCCTGTAACTATTTGCACCAGTTATAGAGTTCATAGACGGGCATCTCTTTCTGGACCTCTTTTTGACTGTCTGTGATTTGCTTTGTAATTGAATTATATTCTATAGTATGTGAACTTTCTAAAACCTTTGTGTGAAGTTAAACATAAACCTGTATACCTTAGGCTATGAGGGAAGGTAGGCCAGAGAGTGTTAATATTTAACATGTAGGACAAGCAGTTTTTTTCTTTAAAGTTTTTCCTGTGACATCATATTCTTCCACGATAAATGGTTCCCACCTTTGTCCCGTGAGTCACTGCAGGCAGCTCTCACATTCTGCCTCAGGGACTGTAGTGGGGACAGAAAGTGAAAGTTGGGGTTGAGTAATAGGATGATAATGTGTTTTATTTTCTTTCTCAGTTTCCTTCTGTACTGAACAGTCATGGACCGTTCACTGTGTCTGGCCTGGATGGACCACCCACCCCTGGCCCATTTTCCCCAGATCTACAGAAAACATAACCTATGCACTTGTGGAATGAGAGAACCAAGGAATAAAGAAACAGAGTCGTTCAACATGATTACATTTGAAGTGAGCAGTTAATAGTTCTACAATGCTAATAATAGACTATTGTGATTTTTGCCATTCCCCATTGAAATGCCTTTTTAAGATTCCCTTTGAATATGACTCAAGTTGGACTGTATATAAAAATGCCTTAATTGGAGTCCAAACTCCACCTCCCTCTTCCTTCCTTCACTCCTTCCTTCCTTCCTTCCTTCCTTCCTTTCTAAATATTTTGAGCTTTGTGTTAAAGAAATTTTTGGTGGGGTTTAGCAGCTAGCTGTGCTTTGCAAGAGCAGTTAAGAACAAAGTTACTCCTTCTGCCTTATTGGGACCCTTTGGCCAGGAAAACAATGATGCTTTGAGTGTATTATTTGGAGAAATGTGAACTGCAGTTGGCCATATCTTCAGGACTAAGTGTGTTCTGTGGAATAACTAAAAGTGAGCTGTGTACAAGCAGTGAAGGAAAAGGAATCCTTCCTGTTCACACAAAGTAAGATTGGAGCAGTATTATCAGAGAGATTCTATTTGGCTGTAAAGGGGAACATAGGTAGGCAACTCCACAGAAAGACATCTTACTTACCTTTATCACGTGGGTTTCTTAGCCATAAGTGTGATCTTGTTTGAACCTGTGAACAGAGCATGGAGCCTAGTCTGTTTCAACATAGGAAGATGTTTTAAACTTGGGGTTTAAGATAGTGTTTGCAGCAACCAGTGAGAATAGGGGACCCCATCTCCAGCACGGAAGTGCCGTCAACTCTCTGGGTGGTATGATTATACCCCCGTGGTACACAGCCTGGTAAGTGATGGCTTTTAGGATGAAGCTGGGTTTTGAAATCTTGAGGCATCTCTGAATGAAACATTCAACTGAATGACTTGAAACAACATGTGGGGCTGTCCCAGTTAGAAGAGACTTTTTCTTTCCTGTTCATTTTACCCTATTTTCCACTGCATATTTACTTTCTTTTAAATTTAAGGTTGTTAGGGGTTGTGATAGTTTTAAAGATGTTATTAGGAAGATGAAAAGCAAAGCGAAGCCTCCAAATCTCAGGTGAGGTAAAGATGTGCTTATTTCTTTGACAAAAAAATTTTTTTAAATTAGAGAGCCGCAGAATTTGTTTGGAAATGCTCACACACAGGGATTGGATTGTTCACATCAGTAGTGAGAAATGTAGGCCTTCATCTCTACGTTAGCACATTTATAAAACGTTACCATATGGTAATCAGTGCCAGGTGCAGACTGAGCTGTGGAGCCTCCAGACTGAATTGATACCAACATCACAGTGGACTCTTCTGAAGAACTTGGCTTTGAAAGTCTAGGATTAGATTATATGCCACCACCACAACACTGCCCATTAACCTCATCTTTTAACTCTAGAAACAGTTCTATAATTGAGTCCCATAAACTAAAGGGAAAGAGGGAGTAAGCATTGGAGGGCTCAAAATGACACTGAGACAAACCAGCGTCTTCCAGATGTAGAATACTCACTTTAAATGTTTCTGTACAGTGTAGAGAAGCTGTAGTGTGAGACGTCCATGCTAGGTTAGTAGGAGTGGAGGGACAGTATTCAGGGAGCTGTCTTTATATTTGTAGTGTTGAAGACCTGTTCGCGATTCATTTGTGGTCACCAGCTGAAAGATCTGTTCTTGGGGTGTTCCGGAGTGATGGGGAACAGACGGTGGGACTTGTCTCCCACACTGAGTCATTTACTTTGCATGCTTGTTTGAAATCAGACCTCTCAGGAGCACTTTGGAATAGTTATTAGGTTAATGAATATTTTGTACTTTAAATGTAAGTATTGATGGCTTGATTTAACTAGATATTTTAAATTTTGAAAGCACAAAAGTATTTTATCTCTTTGAAGTAAGGGAGAAAAGCCATTGGTTGTTTTCATAGACAATATCTTTGAAGATTACCTATCTCAGCACAGGGGTGCCTGGGAACCAAGGGCACCATTAAAACTCAGTCACAGCACCTTCCTAGGAACCAGTTTTCGTGAGTCCTCTGTCTGTAACCCTACCCCGGAAGCCTCCAAGAGGTGTGGGCCTCAGGAGATTGATGATCTGCTTTCTCTTTGAGATCAACTGATGTGGAGAAGTGTGTGTGTGTGTGTGTGTGTGTATTTCCTTTTTTAAATGAAAGTTTACAACCTTAGCTCAAGTGTATGAGGCAGACCGTTCTGTTTGTAAACTACCTCCTTCCTGGAAAAGTCTCAGCTTCATGTTTTTTGAACATCCAGAGTTCTTAGCATCAAAAGGTGACCTACCACTTAAGCTCAGTATTCACTGGGGAGCCTCTGTTTGGTATCTGTAGCTGGTATCCATCACGAGTCATTTTGCCTGGATGATGGCTGGTGGGCCAAAGTAGCCCAAGTTAAGGGAAGGGAGCAGGTTGGATGAGTTTTTGAGATATCTGTCATTATCTTAGCTTTTCATCTGCCCTGGCCCATATCTACTCATTTGTATGCTGGGAAATGTTTAAAACAACCAGGGTCTCTGAAGGGGAAAAAAAAAAGTCCTTAAATTGTAGCATTTGCTGATTCCCATGATGTAAATGACTCCCCCTGTGGCTGATTTGAAGCCACTGCCTTCGAGTTGAGAATGGATGAGCACAACGCTGCTCTTTTGGCCGGCCATCGCCACGTCATTCCAGGCTTGGGTGGGTTTTCACATAATTTCTAAAATCATTTTTTTCTTGTTCCTATGCTGGTTTGTTAAAATACAAAATTAAAATCACATGTCTAACTTCAGTAATTTTTTTTTTTTTTAATGGTTTGTCAATGCTTTTGTGATGTAATATTCCTTATGGTGTATTTTGTGTGTTCTAACAAAGGTGAAAACTTCCATTGATTTTTAAAAATACATACTTAAGGGAATAATCCAGAAATCCTCAAAAAGTCAGTGTAAGCTTCTTAGAATTAAAACATAGGTTTAATTTTTCCACATTTTGATGGCTAAAATAGGAGTATAAATTTTTTCTTCAGATTTTGACAGGAAAAAAGCCCATGAGCCCATATATATATACACACACGCGTATGTATATATGGTGAAAGGGTACTGGATTTTTTTAACTGGAAGAATTCCTTGACCTTTTACATACTGTATTAGAGATCCAAAAAGGCAGGTCTGTTGAATCTCTTTACCTGGCACAATTTCTAGTTTTCTCCATACTGTGCGTCACTCAGGCTTGGAGGGGAAAGGAAGTCAGAGGCTTGGGATGCTGCGGCCGTCAGAGCAGGCTCTGGGTAGTAACACGGCAGGCCCGTTCTAGCAGGCGTTGTGTGAGGTCTGGCCCAGTAACCTTGTCTTATCCTGATCTCAGAATATTTGTTAGGATTGTGAAGTTCTAAAGGCAGTTTTGTAGGTTTCTAGGGAACGTAAGCCCCTGGACGCACCCCCTGGCACTTCAGGAAAGCGGCCTCCAGCCTTTCCGAGCACACACCTTGCTCAGTAAAAGTTTTTGAACACCAGTTTCCTCTTGCAAGATCATACGTGTGTAGTTGTCAACCGCTGTGTGAAAGTCACATGTACATTATAAGACAACACAAAAATCGGAATTAAGGATGGTGTAAAAAGGAAATCTTGACTGGAAGTTCCAGTATTTTCTTCTTGCCCCCAGGAGATTGTCTTGTGCACCTTCTGGCAGCACGTGCTCTCTGCCTTGAAGACCACTGACTCAGGATATTGTTTACAGTCTGATCTTGAAAACAAGAGGTGGATGCTTTTGTTGTGATCCATGCAAAAATCCTTTACATGTTTGACCTGATTTTCATGTCAAATCTCTAGAAGTTCAGTTTTGGTTTTTTTAAAGATTTTATTTATTTATTTGACAGAGAGAGAGAGACAGAGTGAGAGGCAACACAAGCAGGGGGAGTGGGAGAGGGAGAAGCAGGCTTCCCGCTGAGCAGGGAGCCCGATGCGGGGCTCGATCCCAGGACCCCGGGATCATGACCTGAGCCGAAGGCAGACGCCCAACGACTGAGCCACCCAGGCGCCCCTCTAGAAGTTCAGTTTGGAAATCTTCAGGAAAGGTTGTCTTCAGCTTCCTGAAGTGTTATATTAATTCTTTTTCATACATGACCCATTACCGAGTGTTTTCTAGAGCTTCACGCATAGTGTTTTTGACAGCCTGTTGTCTCTTTTCTCTCCAAATTAGGTGTGACTCTGTAATTGACTTTTATTTTACTAGTCTGCTTACAAACTTCTTTTGGCCTTATTAGTGTTAATGTTTTACCAACAAATTCTGAATTATTTTAAGTTGCTTTATGCAAAACTATATAACATCCTCCATTTTCTTGCTGCATTCATGAGTTTTGATTTTTTATTTGTTGGAACATTTCAGCATCTGAAGAAATACTTTCCTTGATGGGCCAGTGCTACTTATCACTTCCCTAACTTGTATATATTTTAGTTATCCATGCCAAAAATGTAGAATTGTGCTCAGGCGCCGCTCTTAGGCGTATAGATGAGTCTGGAGAGGAGTGTGGGTGTCTTTGTGCAGAAACCTGGGGCTCCGAGTGAATCACCAAACCAATGGGGAAGTTAAAAAGACTACTCACCGTGTTATCTGAGGGAGGGACAGAACATGTTAGTTCTAAATGGAGCTGAGGAGTTAATTGTTCCCCCCACAGGGAAGTGGAGGTCAACATTAATCTTCTTTCTTTAGCAGGTACCCTGACCGGAGAAGGGTTCTATGGAAAACATTTTTATGAATTATCTTCTTGATTTTGGGTCAACAAATAAATGTTATTTTTAATGCTGCAGGAATTACACAAAACAAGGTGCCCTGTTATTCCTCTTAGGTCATCAGAATTCTGCTTACTGGAGTTTGAAGTTTTAATCTTCGAATCTAGAATTCTTGTGGGTGGTAGTGTATGAAGCAAGAAAAGAAGGCGGTTTGATTTCATTTCTCGTACTTGGTGGAACCTGTTAGCACAAAAGTCATGTTTTGACCTGTAAACAGAGCAGTCTGAAAGGTGAGTTGTTGATGTGGTTTAAATGTTCCATTTGAAGGTGCCA